TGTTTTGTTTTGTTTATCAAGGTAATTTGTCTACTGATAAGAATTGAAGGAATTCAAATGAAAGTGACTGTGACGGACATGATCAGGATCATATGTTTTAGGATATTATTCTTTTATGATTCATCTAACTCTCTCTTAACTTCTTCCTCTCTTTCTCTCTTACTTTCTCTACCCCGCCCTCCCCTGCTTTTTCCCTACTCCATCTATCTATCTATCTATTTATCACTCTCTCTTTCATTATCAATCTCTTTCTTTCCATCCCTCCTCTTCCTCTTCCTTAACACCTCCCCCCCCCCTCTCTCTCTCTCTCTCTCTCTCTCTCTCTCTCTCTCTCTCTCTCTCTCTCTCTCTCTCTCTCTCTCTCTCTCTCTCCCTCCCTCCCTCCCTCCCTTCCTCCCTCCCTCCCTCCCTCCCGCTCTCCCTCCCTCCCGCTCTCCCTCCCTCCCTCCCTCCCTCTCTCTCTCCCTCTCCTTCTCCTTCTCCCTCTCTCTCTCCCTCTCCTTCTCCTTCTCTCTCTCCCTCTCCCTCTCCTTCTCGTTCTCTCTCTCCCTCTCCCTCCCTCTCCCCGGCCCACGAGAGAAAGGCAGCTCCCCTTTCCTCCTTTCCTCCTTTCCTCCTTCAAGTTTCATGTCTTGTGGACTTATTTGTTCAGTCTGTTGGGAGAAAGAGGGAAAGGTGATAAAAAAAGATGGAGAAGGAGGGAAGAAGAATGAGAAAAAAATAGTGAGAGGTGGAGAAGGAGGGGACAGCAAGGGAAGTAGGGAGAAAGAAAAGGAGGAGAAGGAAAAATGAGGAAGAGGGGAAGAGGAGACGACAGGAAGGGAAACACAGAGAAAGCAAAGATGTAAAAGAAAACGAGGATGAATATGTACAATAAGTACACACAGAAAATAGAAAATAGAAACAGAAAAGTGAAGAAGAACTGTGAATGATAAATTTAAATGAAAAGAGAAAATCTGAAGAATGGGAAGCATATCGAACCAAATGGAAGATGGATGATGATAATGATGATAATTAAGATAATTGCAAATACAGTAATGATACGGGAACTAACAGTAAGAAGAATATGAAGAGAAAAGATGGAAGATGAAAAGAAAAAGAAGAAAAAAAATGGAAAGATGACGAGGAAGAAGAAAAATCGAGAATTAGACGAAAACAAGACCGAGATGAATAATAAGAATAAGGCGAGGAAGAGATGAAATAGAACGATAAAAAGGGACAGAGATGATTAAGAATGATAAGAAGAGAAAAGGGTGAATAAAAATGATAAGTGAAAGAGGTGGGATAGAACGATACGAAGAGGAAGAGATCAATAAGAATGATAAGAGAAAGAGGTGGATAAGAAGAAGATAGGCAGAGGGAGGCCATGACCGCCCGCGCTCTTCCCTCGTCACATCTCGCGCCCATTTCGTCGCGCGGGTATTTATAGGCGGCGCATGACAGGTGTTCGAATGCGTCGTCGTGGATTAGGAATAGGAAAGTTGGCTGTAAGGAAGAGGAATAAATGGGGAGAAGAGAGGGAGGTAATAAGAGAAGGAGGAAGGGTGATAAAAAGAAATGGGAAGTTGTGATGAAAGAGGGTGAAGAATATAGAGATTTGTTCGTTTTTTTTTTGTTTTTTTTACCGTATTGAGTAACCATCACATCGATCGTTAATTACATTAATATGATTATCGTGGACGGTTCTTGTTTTTTTGTACATTTATTCTTACGATCTGCATATTCTATCGTATATGTATTTATTTGTTTAACCGTCTATTTCGGAATTCGAGGCTCGCTGGCTAGCTGCGTGATGGGGGGGATTAGTAGACTCGTTTTGCGTTCTGTTCGGGAGGCGTTCGATTATTTCATTTTATGGCGGGAAATTTATCGTATCGACGTTAATATTGGTATGGAACGAGAAGAAGGAAAGAGAAAGAGTGAGAGAGAGTGAAAGAGAGAGAGTGAGTGAGTGAGTGAGAGAGAGAGAGAGAGAGAGAGAGAGAGAGAGAGGTGGAGGATATGTATACACGCGTACACAAGTAAGCTGGTAGTTATGCATAAACGTATATATACACAAGGTCTATACTTATATAGACCTTGTGTATATACGAACACGCAGACGCGCTCACACACACACACGCTCACACACAAACACACACACACACACACACACACACACACACACACACACACACACACACACACACACACACACACACACACACACACACACACACACACTCATTTATATATACACTCTAATGTATAGATATATAAAGGTATGTAGATAAGCATACATGCATAACGACAGACAAACAGAAACAAGTAAAAAAAAAATTACAGACATACAAGTGTTAAAACTATCCAAGGAATGTCCCAGAAGGAGCCAACATCTGGAAGGAATTCACGCTTTCCATGAGGAGGCGAGAGAGAGAAAGGGGGGGGGGGGGGGAGAGAGAGGGGGGGGGGGGAGAGGGGAGAGGGAGAGAGAGAGAGAGAGAGAGAGAGAGAGGGGGGGGGAGGGAGAGAGAGAGTGGGGGGGGGGGAGGGAGAGAGAGAGAGAGAGAGAGAGAGAAGAGAGAGAGAGAGAGAGGGGGGGGAGAGAGAGAGAGAGAAGAGAGAGAGAGAGAGGGGGGGGGAGAGAGAGAGAGAGAGAGAGAGGGGGGGGGGGGAGAGAGAGAGAGAAGAGAGAGAGAGAGAGGGGGGGGGGAGAGAGAGAAGAGAGAGAGAGAGGGGGGGGGGAGAGAGAGAGAGAGAGAAGAGAGAGAGAGAGAGAGAGAGAGAGAGAGAGAGAGAGTAAGAAAGAAAGAGAAAAAGAAAGGTGAGAGAGAGAGAGGAAAATTAAAGGTGCCTCGACCAACCTTATCTTTCTTTGGCCGTGACCTTGGATGAAGGGGAAGAAGGGGAAGAGAGATAAATGTGGAGGAGAGGAAGGAGGAGAATGATGGGGGATTTGACTAAAGGGAGAAGATAAATGTGCGGTGGAATTTCAGGAAAGAGGGGAAGCAGAGAAGAAGAAACAAGAGGCGGAGGAAGAAGAGTCAAAGAGGAAGAGAATAGAATGGAAAGATAGAAAGAGGGAGAATATGAGCTCTCTCTCTCTCTCTCTCTCTCTCTCTCTCTCTCTCTCTCTCTCTCTCTCTCTCTCTCTCTCTCTCTCTCTCTCATGCATCCTGTGTTTCCATCGCCTATCTTCCAAATTCCAGCTTTATTTTCATTAACATATCGTGTTCTTTTCATCCACTGATATGAATACCTTCTGATTTTCCTTTATCTTCTTACCCACTTCCTCCACTTCCCTATCTGTACACCCTACACCCCTATCCACTTATCCGTCCCTTGTCCTCTGCCTCTTTACTTATTCAAATTATGTATCTGCTTACCCTGTTTATCTATTATTTCCCTTTCCCTTCATCCTCATCCTATTGTCCTATTTACCAACCTCCTTGCCTAATATTCCTGCCCACTTACCCAGATTAAACGTCAACTGGCCCAACCTTTCACCTGCTTTCCCATGCCCCATTTCCCCGTGTCCTTCCCCGCAACTACCCATTTGCCAGCCTATTTACTGATTCCGTTTACTTTTCTGCTTGCTTGGTTCCCTACCTGTTGCCTGCTTATTTGCGTCTCCGGATCGATAAGAGGGGTTGGGATTAATGTAGAATGTTTGTTTGTTTGTTGTCTTTGTTGGTGTTGTCTGTATGTGCGGGTGTGAGCGTTTTGTGAGTCGTTCTCCGTGTGTGAGGGTGCGTGCATGTGTATGTGTGTGTGACGGTTATCTTCTCCAACTGCTTTTCTGCTTCATCTTCCCCTTTTTAATCCGTGTTTCCCATGTCCCTTACTTTCTCCTTCCATCCTATCCTCTTCCCTTCCCCTTCCCTCCGCTCTCGAATCCCTTCCCCATCCCCATACACCCCCTCTCCCTTTTCCCTATCTCCCCTCCCCATCTCTCCTTCTCAAATCCTGTTTCCCCATTCCTCCTTCCTTCTCCTCCTCATCTCATCTCCTTTATCCCTCCCCCTCTTTTTCTCCACCTCCCCCATCCCTTCCCCTTACCGCTCCCCTTCTCCCCATCTCCCCTCCCCCTCTCCCTCCTACCATCTCCTTCTCCCGTATCCCCCACCTCTCACCTCGTCCTCCTCTTCTTCCTATCTCCTCCCCCTTTTTTCCCCATCTCCCCTCCCTTCCCCTCTTCCCCCTTCCACCTTTTCTCCTCCCTTCCCCCCTCCCCCTTTTCACCATCTCCTCCCATCACCCCTACCCCTATCCTGCCCCCCTCCCCGTCCCCCTCCCCTAGCCTACCCGACCGAGGCGATTTTTCACCCGAATCGATTTTGTGTCGGGATTTCGGGCGGCCTCGCGCGGGAGTCGGCGGGTGTCGGGTTAGCGGGGTTTTCGGCGGAGATTACTCTTGGGATTAACTTTATTGTTATTATCTTTATTATCTGCGTTATTATCTTTATTGTTATTTGTTTTATTAGGTTTCTTGTTTACCACTAGTACCTAGATTATTAGTTTTATTATTATTTTTATTGTCATCTTTATTATCATATTCGAAGATATCTTTGTTGTTATCCTTGTTATTATCTCTTGTTATTATATTTATTGTTATCTTTTATTATCTTCGTTGTTATTTTTATTATTATTGTTATCATATAGAATGTATATTATTATCAATCCTTATCATTACCATTACCACTATTTCGTGATTTTCCAAACTCCCTTTGAGCTGAAACCGCAAAACCGCAGAAAATTCTAGACGAAAGAAAAAGTCGCCAAGGAGAGTAAAGGAGTGAATATTGTGCAAATGTGATGATTTTGGTGAAGAGAAAGAGATGATATTTATGATGATAACAAAAGGTGTTTGGAAAAATGTGAAGTTTTTTTCCCCTAAAGTGCAGTGTTTTGTTTTGCATATTAAAGTATCCCTTTATCCTCTGGAGGAAAGGAAGGTAAATATCACGTGTCGATCTGTGTTTCAGGATTTGATTAGCGAAGCAGAATAAAAGTGATTAAAG